CAGAATGTTAATTCTCTGCTCTCACATAGAAATAATACAAAGGAGTTAATAAAAATGAAATTTTATTTGCGTTAATATTCTGGTGGATCCGTTAGACGTACCAGAGTCAGTTTGTATATGTAAGCTTTAACGTGCAACGAAGTGCACCAAGGGCGATACGAAGAGTCGGAGAAAAAAAAAAGGAAGGTTAGACGGGGCTTAAGGAGAGGTAGGGTAAATGCAGATAACAAGCCACCCCGAAGGCTTGCCGTTGTATGTATGTATGTATGTATGTATGTATGTATGTATGTATATATGTACCGAGCGGCGAAAGAGCGAGCGAATAATTTCAAAGAAGATAGGCCAGAGGGTACGGATTCTCTCTATTTCTATTTCTTTTTCCAAGCTGTAACTAAATACTTGTGGCTTTTCGCAAAGGGCTTCACCCTAATAAAATTTTCAACGAGATTTTATATCACGCGATTCTCGTAAAGAAAAGAAAAGAAAATAAGAGCAAAAGAAAATTGCTATCGACCGTACATAATCAAGTGAGATTCGATAGTTTTTGTAGACTCGATTCGAAGTAATATTCATTTCTGTTTAAGAATTAAAGGGAGAGAGAGAGAGAGAGAGAGAGAGGAGTAATAAGTATTTAGTTATAAATAGAAAGGTAGAATGTTCGTGTAGTAAGGGATTGAGGAAGGGAGACTAATAATACTGATCCCATTGCAAGCTTTAAAGGCTTAAGTCCTTGCTAAGTGCCGAGTAATGAATATGCTAACGCGTGCCGAGTGTGCGAGAGGAAAGCTTTGCACTCTGTATCGGGTTCAAGCACCTTTCTAGGCGTGTACTACACGGATCTTATGGTGCAAAGATATCGATACGTTCTTACGAGAAATTCGACCTCTTTCTCTTCCTCTCGTGCAAAAGAAAATTTATCGATCGGAAGAATAAGAAAGCAGCCCGATTGGATTTCCAGAGAGGAGTTTCTAGACGCATTAAGCTCCCTCGAATGTAACGAAGAAGCGACGTTGCTTATCGGTACCTTAGAGAATTCAATTTCTCTACGACATTTAATTAATGCGAAATAATAGCTCGCCGAGACACGACGATGTCTTTCTTCTTCTTCTTCTTCTTCTTCTTCTTCTTCTTCTTCTTCTTCTTCTTCTTCTTCTCCTTCATACTCTTCTTCTTGTTCCGCGCGAAGGATGAATCAAGTTTCGATAGAGTCCAAGGGAAATGTCATTTGGGAATCGACATCGAATATCGAAGCACCTACTAACGATATTAAAGGGCTTGTTGTTCTACCCTATTATCGAATGGAGAAACTTCATTTGGAGTTATCCTTGACGATCTAATATCGCGTAAAATCTCGAGGCGGAGATATTCGAAGCTTTTGAGAGAACGGAAGAGTCGCCCGAGGGCCGAAAGCTTCCGAAGGGAGACCGCGAAGGTCTCCGATTGCTGACCGATACTGCTGTTTGAGAAGCAACCCTTGCCCGAGGGTGCCACTGTGGTTTGAGTAAACACAGGGCGAACGTTATCGGGGGGGAATGGATACGTCGTTCGTAACCTATCGTTCTAGTATGATCGCGCGTGCTACGCAAATAAGAGGGGAATTTCTAATATCGCTGGACGTGGTGAGTATCTTCTCTCTCTCTCCCCCTCAGTCACTTTCCCTCTTCCTCTTTCTCTCTCTCTCTCTCTCTCTCTCTCTCTATCTCTATCTCTATCTCTTAGCGGCACGCGCATGTCTCTCCTGTGTTACAAGTCTGTCAATTAATTTTTTTTCCTTTTTTCATTTTTTTTTTGTTTTACCTACTTTGTAAAAGTACGAAGAGACAGGATAGACAAACGAAATAGGAAATTAAACGTTTTGTTATTTCCTCGTCTCATTTGTGAACGAGAATAAAGAGGTCCTTTTTGCTTGCTCTCGTAATTAACAACATTCTATTCTAGCAATTCATAGTCCTCCTCCAACCTCCTTTTCCTTTCTTTTTCGTCTATTCTTCTGTTTCGAGAATAAGAAGAGAAAACTCGCTTCTTCTTGGAGCTTGTGCTCACTCGCCGGTGTGTCTCTTGGATGGCATATAAAACACGCGCGCGAGCGCACGCGAGAGAGAGAGAGAGAGAGAGAGAGAGGAGAGAGAGAAAGAGAGAGAGAGAGTGTCGTGCCGAGAGGGTCTCTGCGCGTGCTCTCGCCGTCGAGATAACGAACAGTCTGTATTCTCGTTAGCAGTCATGGCAGTCGTTAAGATAACAACGAGACACGACACTCACCGCGAACCGAGCCACGGCACGAAAAGAAGATTTAAGGTCGTCTTAGGACGGCATAACTTTCATAAATTAGTCCTAGACGTTCGAAGGCGTTCGCTATGGACAGAGAACTGTTCTTTTCTCGCGTGGGTCGCCGCCAGCCCTTAAAACGACGTTCGTATAAATTAATAAGCTTACGACCGAATTTTCTTCCTCGCCGTACCACGTCGGACTCGTTCCTTTCTATATTCTTTTTTTTTTCCCCCCACTTTTCTTTCTATTTCTCTTTTTGCGATGGAATCGATCGTAAAAGCTGTTCTCTTTTTCTCCCTTTCTGTAAAAGGATCGACATCAGAGAAAGAGAGAGAGAGAGAGAGAGATAATAAACGAGTATATGAAATAGCATGGAAATAATAAACGTAAACGGATAGTAAAATACTAATAACAATAATAATAATAATAATAATAATAATAGTAATAATAATAATAATGAACGCTAGTCAAGATAAGAGCGACGCGAGATAAACCATAAATATCATTGAAACGATCGACGTATTCATCATTTCTATTTTACCGCGTCACGCGAGATTCAACGATCTAATGTTGGTTGTTGGAGATATATCGGAAGAAGGGCGAATTAATCACGCTCAGGTAATTCGAATCCGAGGATCGACCGCGAATTAATCCGACGTAGAACAACGCCGTGTTTTTCTCCGATACGCGTACCATTAATTACTACTACGATCGGTCAATGGATTTGCGATTCGGTCAAGTGAAAATTGTACGTAACGAGGACCGAAACTGATTGAATTTGTCTTAAGTATTTTACGTGCGTTAAAAACCGATTAAAAACTATTATCGGATTCGTTTTTAATTAACACGAATTACTCTTTCGAAGTAATGATACGAGCGACGATAACGATATTACGAAAATTTTTTCAATTACGTATAATTTCCTTAAGATGCGATAATATCATTTAAAAGTCTCATTTGGTAAAAGACGAAAAGAAAAAAAAGAAAATTAAAAACGAAAATGATAAATAGAAAATAGAAAAATAGAAAGATGAAAAGGAAGAGAGCGGTGGCAGATGCATCGAATCGCTCGAAGCATCTATGTTTAACTATCTGTATCCTTTCGTTTCTTCTTCTTTACCCTGTCTATTTGAAATTTGCCCATTTGTAATTCTCCCGAATAGGCTGATAGAATAGGAAAGATCGCGGATGAAGGATTTCTTTTTTCTAAGTAAAATCATTGGTATAGATCATGGGACGATCTTTGCGAGAGGACGTTCGTCCTCTTTTGCTAATTTATTTATCGTACGAAGAAAGGAACATGGAGAGAGTGACAGAGAGAGAGAGAGAGAGAGAGAGAGGGAGAGAGAGAGAGAGAGAAAGATGAGAAGGAGTTTCATGGACAACAAATCTACCGTATTACAATGGCGCCGTGTACATCGCGAAATATATAAGCATCTCTCTCTCTCTCTCTCTCTCTCTTCTCATGTAGATATATATGTGCATGCATATATGCATGTATGCATTGGCGTGGCATGCAATGGCACGACAGGAGGAGAAGAAAGAGAACGACGACAACGACAACGATTCTGTCTTCGTGGTACGAGTCTATGTATACAACACGAGGAAGGAGAGAGCGTGAATATGTCGGCGTGCTTTCTCGCGCCCGCTGGAGAGAGCGAAATAGAGAGAGAAAGAGAGAGCGATAGAGATAGAGATAGAGATAGAGATAGAGATAGAGATAGAGAGAGATAGAGAGAGAGAGAGAGAGAGATCGTTATCCCAGCGGCGGTTTGTGGGCCTAGACAAACGTACATAAATTGAATGCACTGAGATTAGGGGGTTGCTCAGCTGGTAACCACTTTGTAACAGTACCGAGAAACGACTGAGACGAATGGTAATAGTCCCTCGGTCTCCCTCTCTCTCTTTCTCTCTCTCTCTCTCTCTCTCTCTGTCTATCTATCTGTCTGTCTGTCTGACTGTCTATCTATCTATCTATTTCTCTCTTTCTCCTGATGTCGAGTCCGCCGAGAAAAGGTACGCGTTTTCGATTCCTCGATGAATTCTCATTCTCTTAAGCTTTCGTTTTATCTCGATAGTTCATCTACGAGATTTAACGATCGACAATGTACGAGTCAGCTAATTATTCCTTTCTTAGTTTAGAAATGTTTTCTTAATTTTATCGAAATATTTTTCATTGAAACGTTTTTCAAATTATTATTATTATTATTATTATTATTATTGAGAGACAGCGATTGCACAACTTACATGCCATCCAAGTATGCCAACCCACTTACTTGTAATGTGCATACAACATATTCATATGATGTGTTATAGGCATTCTTGTGTGTCGGGTACACACGTTGTTTTGCTCATAAGAGAAAAATGTATAAGCTAATGGAATGAATAAATGGAGGAAAATGATCGGGGAACGGCCGAGTAAATCGTATTGTCGTTCCTCTGTACTGTTGTTCGCGCATAACGGTTAAGCGTCTCAAGGATTATGCTAATGCGATCGCGGGCGATCGTGATTAAGCTCGCCGGTAATTTCGATGTTCGCAAGCGTGCGATTTCCACGATTAGTCCATGGGGAATTGGAGGAAGTGAAGTGAAGGGAAGGAAAGGGAAGAGAAGGGAGAGGAAAGGAGAGGTGGGGGACGTGGAAGGGTGAACGTGGAAAAAGGGAGAGAGAGGTAGGGAGAATTGCCGGTCGTTGGATTTACATGTAAGCATTGTCTCTGGAGTGTACTTACGTTTGCAGGCCTTGCGATGCGTGATCGGCCTCGCCGGATCCCTGTAGTAACCTTCTCGGCAATAATGACAGTGCCTTCCTGCTGTAAAATGCCGGCACTGCAGGCAAACGCCTCCGCTGACACGGCCCGACAGCTTGTAAAGTTCCATGTTGAATCTGCACTTTCTCGCGTGGAGATTGCAGTTGCACTCTGTAACAGGGCCAAGTCGTTCTTATTTACCGATTAATGCAATTGTTTCGCGTTATCGAGATAGTCAGGTTTAGAAAGAGGAGAAGAGAGAAAAAGAAAAAGAGACCGAGAGAGAGAGAGAGAGAGAGAGAGAGAATTTCGGTTCTTTTCGTCGTCCCTCAATGGCATTAAAAATTGTTATCAAAGGGAATAATTGCATGTTGGGAAAGGAAAATTTTCAATTGGTCGATTCGTTCATTAATATTACTAAACTTCTTGGAAAGTACAAAACGGCGAGACTCTCTTTTTCTCCTACTTATTGGGATAATTAGTCTCGAGTTTATTCATTCGGGAGGTGAAGGAGCGAGAAAAGAGAGAGAGGAAAAAGAAAGGAGAGAGAGAGAAAGTTAGTTCAAGGGTCATTCGCATTAACGAACGACGACAATTTCTTCGGATTCACTTAGTGGAAATATATTTTTTCTCTCTCTCTCTCTTTCTTTCTCTTTTTTATACGAGCGACGGCAGCATCACCAACTTTTTGTATTTTCTCTCTCTCTCTCTCTCTCTCTCTTTTTTCTTTTTTTTTTCTTTTTTACAGATTCTTATGCGAGCGTAAGAGAGGAAGAAAAAAGGAAAGAAAGAAAAAGGAAAAGAAAAAGAGATAGATAGAAACGTTGAACGTCGTCTCATTGATCGCTTCGCGTCCATTGAATTCTGAAGGAGGAAAAGAGGAGAAAAAGGAGAGTGTGGGTTCGAAAAGAAGAATTCGTGCCGTAACTTCCCTCGTTCGTCTCCTCGAGAGCACGATACTCCGACGTTCTTCTTCGTGACTTCTTGAAAATAACGGAATAATTGAAAGACAAGTATGAAGCTACGTAGGTAGGCACCGATGAAGCAATGGAGAAAAAGAAAAAAGAAAAAAAAAAAAAAGAAAGGATAGAGAAAAAGAGAGAAAAGATGTATAGAGAATAGCATCAGGAAGGGTTTGCAATTTTTACGACCCTTTTACACCAAGTTCTCTTCCATCTTTCTTTCTCTCTCTCAGAGAAGAAAAAGAAGAAGAAGAAGAAGAAGAAGAAGAAGAAGAATCTTCTCGACCCAATAATTCGAACCAGGAAGAAAAGATATCTAGCTATGTATCTACGTGCATTGAACAGCTTTGTTCGAGCTTCTTGTTAACGTTTTACCGTTTTTTTTGTCTTCATTCTTCCCCTCTCTCTCTCTCTCTCTCTCTCTCTCTCTCTCTCTCTCTTTCTGTTTTATTTCTAATCTCTCACGTGTGTTTTAACTTCACACGTTTTCGAGCATCGTAGAATATCGTCGATTACATCACGAACATTCTAAGAAATAAATTTGTTCGATTCGCCTCCGAATTCTCCGATAACTCCATTCTCGTTTCCTTTTTATTTGGCTCTCAAGGCCCCTTCTTTTCGAACGAGCGCGCCTGTATCAATTCGAATTGATTTTTATTGACCGCAATTCGCTCTATCGCGCTTCGACGTTAGAAAATAAGGAGAGAGAACATCGAAATAAAGTAGAAATCGAGATAGGCGAATCTTCCCTCTTTCCGGATAAATCGTTAGCGTTGGAAGTGCGCGTCGCTTGTCGAATCGAAATCGAATTATCTCTCGCTTCTTTTCCTTACCCTCGTTATTGCTTCTGTCTGTCTGTCTGTCTGTTCTCTTTCGTATTGTCGATCGTTCGAGATTCCGTTAAAAAAAACGAAAAATGAAAGAGAAAAACTAAAAGGAAAGGCGAAGAAAAAAAAGAAGAAGAAAATAAAAAAAAAAAAAAAAAAAAAAAAAGAAAGAAGGGGAAAAATAGTAGAAACTTTTATTGTATCTTGTTGTTGAAAGTTGCGATCACAATCTCGTAAATCTATTATAAAGTATTCGACGTTTGTAAAAAAAGGATGAAACGATCGGCTGTAACTATAGCGTTTCATTGATATATGATGTGTATATATATATATATATATATATATATAGTGAGACAAGTATGTTCGTCAAACATCTTGCGAGCATGAAGGTGAGCATCGAGAAGAGAATGGCTAAGGAAAAAGGTGTAGTTGAGAGTTTCTCTAGGAGAGCGTGCATCGGGTCGATCAGATAACCACGAGATAGTTAATAACCTCGTTCAGCCACCGTCTGAAATTCCACGATCGGTTCCTGTTATTAAGCTCTCCTGCCTCAGCCAGGCCGCGCCATGCCGCGCCATGCCGCGCCATGCCGCGCCGCCTCTTCTTCGAGTTATTTTCGTAGCGAAGGCGATCGCTGCAATTAGAGATTAATCGTCGTTAGATCGGATCGTTGATCGGTATTTAAGATCACGACATTATCTCCTTCTATTTCTCTCTCTCTCTCTCTCTCTCTCTCTCTTTCTCTTTCTTCCTTTCGATTGTATCTTTTTTCGTGAAAGAGAAAAATCAACAGGTGGATTCTTCTTTGAATAACTCGGTGTTTCCATAAAGCGAATTTAACCTTTTGTAAAAATCGATATTTTTAATAGATATTTCATAATTATCGTATCAGTTAGAATCGATAAGTTGAGATAATTTATCTAATTTATTTCATGTAAGAAAGTTTAGAAAGTTCGGCAAGGAAAAAGATGAAAAAAGATCATTTAGAGTGGATCATTTTTGCATAGTTATATCTTCTCCCTTTTCTTCGGTGAATTTCTTCTAAAGAAGCTAAGATATTTCTCGCACCCTTTTCTTCTCCGACATTCGTCCTATCGCAGTCGCATCATTCTCTTCTCACTATCCCGAATCTCGTCAACTTAATCTCCAGCTCGTTTTGTACTAACGACTCGAAGTTTACCCTTTACGAAGAAACAAAAGGAAACACTATGGGGTGTACAAGGATCGTACGATGAGAAGAAGGCAAAAAAAAAACAAAAATAAAAAGTTGCAGGACATCGAAGGCGCATGCTCGACAGTTCGAACCTGTTTCAGGTTCAGGATATCGCGCTGAATCTTTCCTTCTCCTTTGATTTACGCTTTTTTTTTCTTTTTTCTTTCGGCCAAATCCAAAGCAAGATCTTTCTTAAGTTAAACGTGACTTTTATTTCGTTGATCTTTTTCTTCATTTTCTTTTTTTTTCTTCTTTTCTTCTTCTTCTTCCTTCTCTTTTTCTTCTTCTTCTTCTTCTTCTTCTTATACGCAATTGCATCGTCCGATTTGCAATAATTTTTTTTCTACCTCGGTTTTCCTACGAGAACAATTTTATTCGACGTGAAAAATATATATATATATATATATAGTTAGATCGTGTTCGTGACTAGAATCCAACTATAAACGCGAAGAAAAATAGGTGTGACAAGGATAGATACGTGATTCTCTCCAAAGCTGTCTGGGGTAAGCTTCGTGGTTAGATAAACTGCCTCGTGTGAGACTCAGTTTAACAGCTAAGAAAATTGCCAAATAATTTCTTTCGTTCTTTTTTGCTCTTATCCATCCAATCCAGACGCAAGTACGTAAGCACGCATCATCGTTCTTGAGAATTTTCGAAGGAAAATCGTGATTTTTATCTTGTTCGTTTCTTTTTTTCCTCTGTAAATAAGTTTAGCGATTCGACGGAGAAACGTGTTCACACGTAGAATATCTTGGAACTTTCTTCGTCGATATAAAATTCTCCTTAGATCGAGAATCCATGGAAAATTGTTGTTTCAAGTTGCATCGAGTTAAATTTATTAACTAAAATACTTGATAAGATCGAGGAGTCGCGCGCGTGCACGTGCCTGCGTTCTCAAGTTTATTGAAATCAGCATCGAGTTAAAATTTCAAGATAGGCATCGTGAAAGTACGTAGGGTAAAGCGGATAGTTAATGAACGAAGTAGATGCTTCATTCCTTGAGTAGAAATTTGCACGTAACAAGTGGATACTTAGAAGTAGAAGCTCTTAGCTTTGAGAGTATCTATCCATTATTTTTCGAGATACCCAAACTAACGTGGCAGATTTATCGATCCTTATTGTTATATCAATTTCTCATAAGATAAATGAGATGCTCTTACTTGAATGAAACGTAAGATACGCGTACATATATTCTTAAGTGCGTATGATCGTTAAAAAAAAGAAAAAAAAAGAAAAAAAGAAAAAGAGAGAAAGAGAGAGAGAGAGAGAGAGAGAGAGAGAGAGAAATAAAAAGAAAAAAATTGGCGCTATGCTCACGAAGGAAGTATCGTACTGAGAGGAGAGGCACCTCTCAGAAATTATAAAGAAGGTAGTAGTAACGTGCTATTAGCCATGTATACCGGAGAAATTATTCTCAGCTCTCGCAGGTGCTTCGTCCGTTTCCAATCACTTCGTCTCTCGATAATCGTGTACCACCAATCGGCCCTCTTGCCAGATGCGCGATAATTATCGTGGTAGGACGATAATCTCATTACAAAATTATAGCGTGACGAGACCGTTATATATCGCATCGAACGTCTTTTTGTTAATGAAGTATCGATCGGGATAGATCGATCTTCATTATCGAAAATCATTTCAAAGGGCCAACACAACTGCGAGAATATTGTTGTTTTTATTGTTAGTCTTTCTCTTTCTCTCTCTTTTTTCTTTTTCTTCCTTTTCTTTTTTTTTTTTTTTTTTAGTTTTTAGTTTTATTACTTCCATTTTTTTCCGTAAATAATATCGTCGCAGGTGCGTACTCCGTGTAGCCTTTTACTATCTTCGCAAAACCACCCACGCATGCGAAAATTCCGACGAAACGAGCGACCAAAGCGTTGGGGCATTAATAACTTTGAACCACGGTGGTAGCGGGGCGAGGGGTTGGCGGCGGATAACAGGAATACTTTTTTACTTCGTTTGTTTCTTCGCGCTTCTCGAAGGGATCGAGAAAGTGAAAGGGGAAAGGAGAAACGAGCGGTAGTGCCATTACAAGGAATATTAATTATCAATAACGGCCGTTCTAAGTTTCTTCGAGAGAGAGAGAGAGAGAGAGAGAGAGAGAGAGAGAGAGAGAGAGAGAGAGAGAGAGAGAGAGAGAAAGAGAAGAGAAGAAAAGAGAAGAGAAGAGAT